AAACTTTAGGTAACTGAACACTTTAGGCAAACTAAAAAGAAATCATAAATAACCACAGGCATGCGGCTGGGGGCGGGGGCGGTTGGGGGGGGGGGGGGGGGGGTGTTCGGGATTTATTCAATAGCTTGCTACATATTAAACTGAGTGTTGCTGGGGCACAGCTGGAGACTTGTCAATTCTTCCCAATCCTACATCTACAATCTTGACTCCCAGGTCGTTCCAGCCTTGAGTGGGGCTCTCTCTCTCTCTCTCTCTCTCTCTCTCTCTCTCTCTCTCTCTCTCTCTCTTTCTTTATATATATATATATATATATATATATATATGTGTGTGTGTGTGTGTGTGTGTGTGTTTGAGTGTCTGTGTGTGTGCATGGTACTAGGATATAAGAGACTCACTGAACATGAACCTTCAAGAGGCGCGACAGCAGGTGAGTGACAGTTTCTTTTCAGGCAGACCGTGAAGAGAGCGACGTTCTATAAAGGATCTGCTACATGATAATGATTATGAAATTGACGATGATGATATATAGTAAAGACAATATTTCGACTCCGTTAGGACTCGAACCCACAACTTTCTAATCCGCAGCCGAGTGTTTATAGGGTACACCAATGCGCCTTTCTTTCGCGCTTTCTCTCTCTCTCTCTCTCTCTCTCTCTCTCTCTCTCTCTCTATATATATATATATATATATATATATATATATATATATATATATCTTTTAAAGTTATGTTTTTAAGGGCTAAAGGAGAATTGTTTTGTTTTCTATAATTATTGGCCCGACAACTGACCCGCCTTTCTACTGCTGCCCACGACATTTATTACTTCCCACTGCACACCGACCTACTCTTGTGCCCCATAAATAACGTCTGTGTGTTTGCCTGTACCAAAATAAACTATATAACTGGCGGTCGGAGAGCATTTGTCCTCATTGAAATGACACAAATCATAAATCAGATGTTTTAGGAAGACGACGTCGCCCAGTGGCTAGACAAGTGGTTTTCAACCTGTTTCAGGTGGCGTCCATCTTAAAAACATGGCAAGCCCCATTGCCTCTTACCCCTGCCCCTATCCAATTCTCTAGAAAAACTGTGACAACGAAGAGAGGCACAAACAGAAAAATGCCAAGCACTATTAATCAGAACTGGAAGAAAAACATCTATCTACATAAATAAAAGTGTCAAACAAAAAACATTTAATAGCAACTAGTAATCTCTCCAAATCAACCTGATGGTTGAGACTGTTTTTGTCTTGAAAATATCTGTGTACCCCCCTCCCCCCTCCCTCCCCTCCCCCTGATGTTTGGACAAGGCACAACGGTTAACACACTCCGCACCAAGCTTTTAAAAAAAATCTTAAATATGAATGTACAGTTAAAGTTAAACTGAAGGATGTAGACAGAAAGACAGACAGTCAGAAAGGGAGGGGGGGGGGGGGGGGGGGGGGGTTCCGAAAAGGTTATACTTCATATACATTATGTCTCTACCTCCCTTCCTCCTTCTGTCTGTCTGACTATCTCAGACACGAGATTGACACTCAACACAGTTCTGTCTGACGGGAGATCTCCATGATGATCTACGTGCAGGATACCACAACTAGGAAATCACTCAAGGACTATCGGAAACAGCATGTGATTTTCTCAGGAAACCCTACACAATACTCTTGAGGGAAACAAAAATACATATGATGGTGTCCATGTCTAGTATTCTAGCCTGCTGTTCGTAACACATTGTCGCCAGTGTTAAACTGAAGCAATGATAACTGCTCGAAGTGGATGACACACAGTTGATAACAGTCTGAAGCATATACATGTGTGGGCAAATGATATTTTCAATTGTGGCTTTCACCAGTTAATTCAAACATTAAGTTAACCTCGCTAAACGACAACAAACCAAAGAATCGATGTAAACTGGCTTTCTGACACCATCCACTAATGGCATTAACAAACTTGATGACGCACGCCAAAAGTCTCCAATCAACGGCTTGTGGAGTTTAGTCTTTACCCAACAGAAGATGGTTCGACAATTAGACTAGGCTGTTATATGCTAGTAATATTATTGCTGCTGTTGTATTACCTCTGTCATTCCAGTTACCCACCAGTGTACTGTTTTTACTGCTGCATTCGCCAATTTGTAGGGCGGTGGAAGACACGAGGTCATGAGCCTACTAATTAAATGCCGTATAACTAGTGCAGTTGCCACAAAATGTACAGGCAAGAGACTTACTTTTTAAAAAAAAAACAGGATAGACCCACTGCCTCCCTAACAAGCAAGTCATCAGAGTCAACTAATTACAGGTTTCCATCGAAGTCGCAGTGTGCGTGCAACACTATAGTTCTCGAACAAGACTACAGTCCAAAACTGAATGACCAATGAGAACTTTCCGCTGAAGTTTACAGCCGGTGAACACCAACAAGAAATCTGCAGCTTTGGACTTCAGTGAGATCACTGGAAATAATTTCATTTCAAAGTCATATGCAAATTTAAAATTTTTTTAAAATTAATTAATAGGTGTTTTGAAAGTGCTTCGATACAAATGACATACCGAACGAATCACATGATTTGACCAGAAACTGCAGAAATTTAGCGACTGGCGATTTCACATAAGAAAAGAAGAGTCTTAAACATCAGAGTGGGCAGATCACGAGTTGGCGGCAAACATTCGAATTGGGACTACAGAATCAATGCACGAATGAAGTTGTTCTTTAGACGAAAGGCAATTATTGTATCTGACCGTTAATTTATCAGGCAACTAATGAAAATGTCCATCAATCTACCTGGCAAGTACTGAATCTGCCCATCAATGTACTGGGCAATTACTGAACCTGCCCATCAATCTGTCAGGTAATTACTGAAACTGTCAGTAAATCCATAACTCACAAGGAAGTTTGTTGTTGTCCCTGACACAAATGTGTGAGATCAAATGGACGGTTAGAATACTCATGTTGTCTTTCCGTCCCAGATGGTGGTTTGCTGTAGCACATGCTTACGCCATGAAACACTGATCTCACTGACAGGGACATAATGAGTCATGTCAGAAATGACACCAAGTGGGTTGAAGTAACGACTGGCGGCCCTGAAGGAACTAAGAACTCAAGAGGGCTGGCTGGGTTTCCTGAGTATGCACGAATTACCTTAGACAAAGAGTCATCAGTTCTGACATGAAACGAGCTCGAAGACAAAGGGCAGTTCGCGCTTTTGAAGTGAGAACTGCCCGCGGAGAGTAGAATGTTAAACTCATCAATTTGTGAAGAGAGAGAGAGAGAGAGAGAGAGAGAGAGAGAGAGAGACAAGACAGACAGACAGACAGACAGACAGACAGACAGACAGACAGACAGACAGACAGACAGACAGACAGACAGGCAGGCAGACAGACAGACAGACAGACAGATTAGATAGATAGATAGATAGACAGACAGACGGGCGGGCGGGCGGGCGGGCGGACGGACGGACGGACGGGCGGACGGACGGACGGACGGACGGACGGACGGACGGACGGACGGACGGACAGACAGACAGACAGACAGACAGACAGACAGACAGACAGACAGACAGACAGACAGACAGACAGACAGACAGACAGACAGACAGACAGACAGACAGACAGACAGACAGATAGATAGATAGATAGATAGATAGATAGATAGATAGATAGATAGATAGATAGATAGATAGATAGATAGATAGATAGATAGATAGATAGATAGATAGATAGATAGATAGATATATATAGATAGATAAAAGAAGCAATGTTTATAACTGAAAGCAAACATGGGTGTGTGTAGGGATGGGGGGCGGGGGGGGGGCGGTGGGGGTTCTTCGTGGTGAACTAGTTAAACCATTTGCCAAGTTATCTGGCGCAAGTGAGTCGGTTCACAAGTGCAAGTGATTTAGGATATCCTTGGGGTTACTCTATGGAACTACAGAGTTCGTACTTTGTGCCACGCTTTTAGATGGTGCACAGCCAATCTGCGGAGAGAGACAGGAGTTGTGTAGGGTAGAATCCGGTGCCGTGAAGTCGATCATCTTTTATTTGAACAAAGGAAGCCCTTACCGGGAATTGAACCCGAAACCTCTAGCACTCGAGGTGGGCACTCATGCCTCGAGACCACGCAGCCCTGCAGTTCGGTAGAGAGGAAGAGTGACAACCAAGAAAGATATGGCCAGCGAATATGGCTGACAGGATAGATCGCAAACATGCACACATCAAGTTATGTTCACGTGACCAACAGAGATGGCAGGAACTGTTCAGCCAATAACAGCAGCGGATGACCCAGAGATGCGCGGTTCTATGGGATGAAGATGATGGCGGTGGTCATCATAACAAATCTCATTATCACGTTAGGAAAAAAAAAACATCGGCAGAATGTTGCGTTGTGACAATGTAACATAACATTCCTTCTGCTTCTGTTTCTGTTGCTGCTTCTTCTTATTATTCTTCTGTTTATGCTGCTGTTTCTGTTGCTGCTGTTTGCTGCTTCTTCTTCTTCTTCTTCTTCTCCTCCTTCTTCTTCTTCTTCTCACCGACCAGCTCTAAACTCTGGCGGAGTTTCCTGGTTGTTTATCCACGTTTAGATTAGTCTTGTTTTAGAACTTGACCTCTGCGTACATATCCGTTTTACAGCTTTGGCTTATTTGTATGCAGACTGTTGGTTTCTCCCCTCACAGAGAGAAGCACTCTGCCTCCGAAAAAAAGTAACCCCTAATTAGTCGACTTTAGCGACATGCGTGTTAAGGCGAGCAAGGGATCTACCCCCCCCCCTCCCCCACCCCTACAATGGGGCTCCGAACATCAGGAGCCTCTCTTGGCAGGGGTGAAATGTCACAAGCTAGCTTGGTTTGGGCAGGTGGAGAGACATGATTCGATTGCAAAGACTGTACTTCAAGGAACACTAGGGGTAGTCAAAAAAGAAGAGAGCAAAGAAGAACCTGGAATGACAACATCGAGAAATGGACAGGACTAAGTTATCACACTGTTCTGGTCGGTGGAAGAAACCCATCAAAAATGAGACGCCGGCCTGCTAGATGCTATCGTTACTGCAATAATAAGCCATACCCCAAGTCACGCTTCTGTCGTGGTGTGCCTGATCCAAAGATCCGAATTTTTTATTTGGGCCGCAAGAGAGCCAGAGTGGATGAGTTTCCCCTCTGCGTGCACATGATCTCTGACGAGTACGAACAGCTCTCGTCTGAAGCCTTGGAAGCTGGTCGTATCTGTGCCAACAAATACCTGGTAAAGAATTGTGGTAAAGATGCTTTCCACCTACGAGTTCGTTTGCACCCCTTCCACATCAACCGCATTAACAAGATGTTGTCGTGCGCTGGAGCTGATAGGCTTCAGACAGGTATGAGAGGAGCTTTTGGGAAACCCCAAGGAACAGTTGCACGAGTCCACATTGGTCAGCCAATAATGTCGGTGCGTGCCCGTGAAAACCAGGAGGTTGCTGTTGTTGAGGCTCTGCGTCGTGCAAAGTTCAAGTACCCAGGCAGACAAAAGATTGTTGTCTCCAAGAAATGGGGCTTCACTAAGTACTCCCGCCAGGAGTTTGAGCGCATGAGGGCTGATGGTCTGTTGGTCCCTGATGGTGTCGGCGTCCAGTACAAGCCAAACCACGGTCCACTTGATGCATGGAAGAAGAGGGTGTCTGCAGTGGAGCGCTAAATAAACATTTGTTTCAGTCTAAAAAAAAAAAAAAAGTTATCACACACTTATTCATCAAGCGGAAGACATAAAAAGATGGTGGGTTTTATGTGCTAGTGCTTCGATCAATACACCTCCACGACCTTAATGGGTCAAGGGTTATGCTATGTATGTAACAGGGCCCCGGAAGCCACACGGGAAAACATAACACTGAAACTCGTTTGTGTCACATTCTAGTCAAGTCTTCTGGAACGGTTCAGGCTAGTCTCTGCACAGAAGACCCCAAGTCAGCTAGGATATTCCCAGACATAAAAAAAGCGCAACGTTTTAGCAAGAGCTTCTACGTCTATTAATGGAAAACTAATATGGCTGTCACGGTCCGATAGAGTAAAATCATGTGTCCTGTAACTGCACTCTCCTGGAAAGCACCAGTGTAAAAATCGTTTGTGAAAAATTGACAACAGCGAAGAGTATTTCTAGTGCATTCACACAAATCCATTATTCAACGTATGTGACAAATGGAGGGTAAGACACCTCCATTATTACTTCTTCTTCTTCTTCTTCTTCTTCTTCTTCTTCTTCTTCTTCTTCTTCTTCTTCTTCTTCTTCTTCTTCGCGTTCACCATCTGTAAACTCTGGGGAAAAGTTCTGATTGTTCGTCCACTTCTGGACTGTTGTCCGGTTCCAGAACCTGGGTGTTGCGTGTGCATCCGTTTTACAGATCTGACTCATTTGTATGGTTCTTTGCCTCTCAGGCAGATGCACTCCGACTTCGAAGGAAGCTCCCAATTAGCCGCGATCCCATGACATGCTTGTGGGTAGGCAGTGGGTCTATTCTTGTTTTCCCTGTAAACGGACCCCGGAATCCAGAAGGGGATTATTACTAATTATTAATATTACTATTATTAATAATAAAAAATTATGAGAATAACAATGCTAGTAAAATGACAACAACGAAACTACAAGTGTTATTATTATTAGTTGTATTATTATTTACATAGGCAGACAGGTCATCGTTGATTAAAATTGAAACCAGTCAATATAACTCATGGGTCTAGAACAAAATGCCTGATGCTCTGCTGCTACTGTTACTGTTACTACTTTCACTATAACTACCACTACTACTTTTACTATAACTACTACTGCTACTACTACTTTAACTATAACTACTACTGCTACTACTACTTTAACTATAACTACTACTGCTACTACTACTTTTACAATAACTACTACTGCTACTACTACTTTAAATATACCTACTGTTACTACTACAGCTAATACTACTTTTACTATAACTGCTACTGCTACTACTACGTTTACTATAACTACTACTGTTACTACTACTAGTACTTTTACTAAAACTACTACTGTTACTACTACTATTACTAATACTTTTACTATAACTACTACAGTTACTACTACTACTACTAATTTTACTAAAACTACTACTGCTACTACTACTTTTACTATAACAACTACTCTACTGCTACTACTACTAATACTTCTACCTTTACTCTAACTACTACTGTTACTATTACAACTACTTTTACTATAACTACTACTGCTACTACTACTACTTTTACTATAACTACTAGTACTTTTACTATAACTACTAGTACTTTTACTATAACTAATACTGCTACTACTACTTTACTAACATTATTACTTTTACTATTACTACTACTGCTACCATTATTTTACTATAACTATTACTGCTACTACTATTTTTACTATAACTACTACTGTTACTACTACTATTACGTTTACTATAACTACTACTGTTACTACTACTAGTACTTTTACTATGATTATTACCGCTGCTGCTGCTACTACGTTTACTATTACTACTACTTCTACTCTTGCTATTACTACTTTTACTACTACTGCTACTACTACTGCTTCTATTACTGCTTCTATTACTGCTTCTATTACTACTACTACTACTACAAATACTACTACTGCTGCTACTTTTACTATTACGACTACTTCTGTTGCTGCTGCTAGTACTATTACTACTACTACTACCACCACCACCACCACCACCACCACCACCACTACTACACCTACTACTACTATTACTACTACTACTACTACTACTACTACTACTACTATAACTACTGCTTTTACTATTACTACTACTTTTAATATAAGTACCACTTCTAATAATATTACTACTACTACTATTACAACTACTATTTTTACTATTACTGCTACCGTTGCTACTGCTTCTGCTACTACTACTACTGCTACTATTATAACTACTACTACTACTACTAATACTACTACTGCTGCTACTTTTACTATTACAACTACTTCTGTTACTACTACTACTACCACCACCACCACTACTACACCTACTACTACTACTATAACTACTACTTATATTATTAGTACTACTTTTACTATTAGTACCACTTCTACTATTATTACTAATACTACTATTACAACTACTATTTTTACTATTACTGTTACCGTTGTTACTACTGCTGCTGCTGCTGCTGCTGCTACTACTACTACTACT